CACACACACACACACACACACACACACACACACACACACACACACACACACACACACACACACACACACACACACACACACACACCACCACCACCACCACCACCACCACCACCACCACCACCACCACCACCACCGTCTCCTGCCCGCACCTGGGGCTGCGGCAAACAGCTCTGGACTGCTGTGAGCGCCATGCCCAATGCGTGCAAAGTACTCCGCCGTCGCGTCGTTGGCGAGACGAAGAACAGCGCGTGGTGGCGAATACCTGCAGTTGTTGTTGTTGTTGCGAATGGCGTGTTGTGTGTGTATGTGTGTGTGTGTGCATGTATGAATGTGGACATGCGCATGTGTACATGTGAACATGTGTACATGCCGTGTTCTTCTGCTCCTCTTCTTCACACCTTCCCCGATGTTCTATCTGTTCATCCATCAACATAAACACAACCGCTCACACAGCCCCATGTGACACAACACTCCCACCTGCAGGCGATGGCAAATATGCTCTTGCGTGCGTTTAGCTCCTGGCATCGCTGTGTCACGCCCTCAATCGGAATTCCGGCCCGCTCTGCCCACACCTGCAGCTCAGCGGGAAAGGAAGGTGTGAGCGCATGCATGCTTTTGTGTGTGTGTGTGTGTGTGTGTGTGTGTGTGTGTGTGTGTGTGTGTGTGTGTGTGTGTGTGTGTGTGTGTACGCTTGTGCGCATGTGCGTGCACACCTGTCTGTCTGTGTGTGAGTCAGTCTGTCTGGTTGTTTGTGCATGCAGCTACCCCCCCCCCCTCTCGCGCGCCCATCACCCCCCTGCAATGCCCTCACCATCATGATGTGGCTCATTGCGTTGACAAAGAGCGAGCGGCGGGAGTTGTAATCGCTCCGTCGTCGATACGGCGCCCACCTGATCACGCAACGGTCATGATCGCGGTGGTGGCGGTGGTGATGGTGGTGGCGGTGAAAAACAGGGGTGGCGAGGAACAGGAGCGAGGCAAATGTGCCATGATGGAGAGTGACGATGAAGCAGGGCGTGGCGAGCATGTCTGACAGGCAAGCAAGGATGGATGTTATGATAGCAGTGCACATACACACACTCACACTCACACACACATACATACACACACACCTCTTGAACTTGAAGGATCCCAGCGCAAATGTGAACGAGAGGTAGTCAAGCACCTGTCACAATGTTGTTGCACCATGTGATGTAATGTGATGTGATGGGTGAGTGAGTGTATGTATGTAAGCGTGTGCGTGAGCGCAATGTGTGCGAGCGCACAAACAACACCTCTCCCGGCTGACACAAACACACGCACACACGTGCTTTCGTGCCTCACCTTCCTGCAGGCTTCAAAGTGCTGTGCAGAAGAATGGCTGCATTCGTTGAGAATGAGCAGAGCAATCACGGTGTACCCCAGATACGGCAGGGAATTAAACTCCCACAGGCCTGTGGATACATACACACAACCGCACGCACGCACGCACGCACGCACGGCATTGAGAGGTGCAGCAGCAAGGTTGAGGTAAGTTACGCATGTGTACAGGAAGATGTCAAAGCACGCAAACATGCACGCATACTTGCCCGCACACTTGCCCACACACTTGCACGCACTTGTACGCACACACTCGCGCACATACAAACACATACAAACACGTTCGCGACAACGTGCCTGCGTTGAGGATTTCGTCCATGAGTTCTCGGAGAAAGAGCTGCACAACAGGGGCCGCTTTGCTGTTGCAGCCACCAACACCAGTGATGATGGTGGTGGTGGTGGTGGTGGTGATGATGATGGTGGCGGTGGTGGTGGTGGCGGTGATTGTCGGGGTTGTCGTTTTGCGGTGGTTGCGAATAAGGGACGTGTGGGTAGGTTTGAACAACGATCACACAAGGACACGGGCTGTGTTCAGACAACTCACGTCAAAGAAACACGCGTGTGCTTCACACTTGACCCATCGTACGCCTCTCCCTCCATCACACGCCCCCTCTGCCTTGTGCCGCTGCTGACCTTGGCGTTGGCTGGTGGTGCGGGGCGGAGAGAGCGGTGAGATACAGCGTTCCATTGATCATCAACAGGTGGTTCTCGGTCTCCAGCACGCCCACGATGGCCTGTGCAGCAGCAGTGGTGGTGATGAGTGGAAGGGGAGAACGTGGACGTGGTAGGAGAGCGTTGTCATGCCAGGACAACTAGGACTGACACATCTACACACGTGCACATGGAACAGGACTACAACATCATCTACACACGTGCACATGAAGCAGGGAATGACGCGTACGCACACACACACACACACGCTGACACAGATGTGCGCACGGATCTGCACTCCCACATTACGCACTCAAAGGTAAAGTGTGCATCCAACACGTAGCGCATGCATGCGTACTCAACTCGCCAGACGCGAGCACTCACACGCACACGAGCATACCCGGGGCACGGCGAACCGAGGAGCGTCGTATTTGTCAGCCGCAGGCAGCAAGCACTCGCGCAAGTGGCGTTTCAGATCACTGGCGGTGGAGGTGGTGGATGATTAATCAGCAGCAGGAGAAACACATAAATACACACACACGAGCACACACACACACACACACACACACACACACACACACACACACACACACACACACACACACACACACACACACACACACACACACACACACACACACGAGCACACACACACACGAGCACACACACACACACATACATACACACACACATACACACACGAGCATACACTCACATGCACAACACCAATCACACAACTCTCATGCATACGCTTACGGGGGCACGAGGTCTGGCGGGAAGCGGTGGAGGAGAAAAGCGAGACCGATGGAGGTAAAGTCGTAATCTCCCGAGCGGTGCAGCGGGTGACGCGACCCAAGACGCCCCCACGGTTTCTGCTGCTGCTTCAGCCACCCTTCAATCGCCAACGCATGCTGCCATGGCGGTGGTGGCGGTGGTGGCGGTGGTGGTGGCAACAACAGCAAGTGCAGTGGTGAGCAGAGTGTGGTGCTATTCTCACGTCCCAAGACCCCTTGCACACAAACAAGCAAACAAAACAGCACAAGAAAACACTAGACACACACAAACACACATACACAGATACGCATGCACACACATGCACACGCACATGCACACGCACATGCACACACACATGCACACACACACATGCAACACACGGCAGCGAAGGTTGGAGCGATCCCGCACCTCTGTGTCGTTGTTGAGGATGCGCGCGACGAGGAGCTGCAGCGTGGTGACTTTGCCATCCGCCCTGTTCCAACAATACTCATCGCATGGCACACTCGCCAGGAGGGTCACAATGGTGCGTGCGTAGTGGTGCTCGTCTGGGCGGTAGTAGGACATGTGTGGCGATTCGTCTTGCGGTGGAGGGGCTGACGACGGAATGCTATACCCTGGCGGTATGTACGAAGACGACTGTCTTCCCTGCCCAAACTTGCCCCCAATCATCCGCTGGTACTTTGCCTGCCAGCATTGGTGGTGGTGGGGGATGGTGTCGGAAGGAGGCGGTGCGTGAGGACAAAGGTAACTTGGTGGCACTTGCATCCACAGAACAACAACGACAGCAGCGACAATCAATAACAGGGACAAACACAACTGCAACGACGACGACGACAACGACAACAACAACGACAACTGCAACAACAACGACGACAATGACAATGACAATGACAACGACAATGACGATGACAGGACATCTTGCCATCAGCCAACATACCATCACGGCACTGAGGTCTTTTTGGTGTGACAAGATGGCGTGTGCAGGTCCGGTTGCGGTCATTGGTTTGGATGTGGCTGGTGCTGAGATGGATCGTGGCAGAGGGTGCTGCGAGTGTGAGGCTGACGGTGGCTGGTCAGCCTCGGAGGTGGAACGTGGCTGCTCTGTGATCACCCCACCATAGACTCCATTGCCATCGCCCTCACTGCCATCAACCCCATCGTCGTCATCGCCATCACTGAGACTGGCATGATGTGTGCTGTCATCCCTGACAACAACCCTGTCCGGCCCATCCTCTTGTGGTGGCTCTGCAACTGTGTCTCTTGGCTCATGCGTATGTGTCTCTGTTGCTTCTTGGGACTCCACTGCTGGTTGCTGCTGTTGTTGCTGTTCCCGCTCCTGCCGCTGCTGTTGCAGTTGCTGCACACTCGCCATCTCCCCAGCAGCATCATCCATCTTCTTGTCAGCAGCGTCCATCATTGCCGATGTTTATTGCAAGATATTATTCAATTATCTACAACCGCCCCCACAACACACACACACACACACACACACACACACACACACACACACACACACACACAGCACACACAGCACAGCACACACACATACACACATACATACACACATACATACACACACACATAGCACAAACACGATTCCACACGACGTCATCACCTGCGAACCCGCAGCTCCACTTCTTTCTTCTGGCTGTTGAGAAAGTCAAGGACGCGGCTGCATGTGTGATCGAGAGCAGAGAGCGCCTCTGCTGGTGGCACCTTTTCCCGCCCAGTCTCTGCTGCCTCTGCGCTCTCCTCATATGCATCCTCCAACTCGGCTTCAAGCTCAGGGTCGGCCTTGGTGCGCAACAGCACAGGCGCTGCAGAGCGGAAGGGAGGAGGTGGAGCGAGGATGGGGGAAAGGTGCACACAAAGGCGCACGTCGTCAGCAAAGGAGGCATTTGGCCAAGCAACCTTCACGCAGAACATAGAAACGAAACCATACAATTCCCTCAAACACAACCCGCATCACCACACACACACACACGATCGCACACACACACACACACACACAAAACCGCACCACACACACACACACACAAAACCGCACCACACACACACACACGCACGCACGCACGCGCACACACACACACACACGATCGCACACGATCACACACACACACACACGATCACACACACACACACGATCACAAACAAAGCCATGATAGAATGTGAACCATCATCACTCAGGTGCACGATTACCTTTGTCGTGGGTGAAGCTGCTGACGACGCCAGATGTGACGCTCTGGAGGTGCTCATCCAGCTCCGTCGACATGGCCTTGGGCACGAGCACGCGGTTGTGCAAGTCTGGGTGCTCTCGCCTTCTCAAAGACATCATCAGCACCTCAATTTGCCCTGGTACCAGCACCACCAAAGGAAGCGTGCTGGCAATGTGAGGAAGAAAAAAAAACACGTCGTGCCATAAACACGCCGTGATACAAAGACCAAAACACTGGTGACACATTGGAATTGTATCTCGCGTGTTGCTGCTTCCTTTGCCTTTGCCTCCATTGCTTTCCCCCTCGGCACCGACACAGACGGACAGCCACTCATTCCAAAGCAGAAAGCAGGCCACTCACGTTCGATTGTTTGTAGGTTGCTCAGCATTTGTCGCCTGCGTCAAACATGTTTGGAGGGGAGAGAACAGCACAGAAAACATTGTTACATCAGCTGCACAGTGCATACGTCTTGTCGGTATGCAAAACACACCGCAAGCAAAACAAAGAAAGCTCACCGACACAAACACACGCCATGCACACGCACACACATGCAAACGCACACACATGCACACACACACATGCAAACGCACACACGCCCATGCACACGCACACACATGCAAACGCACACACGCGCATCAGGGGCACAGAACGCACGCACCAGGAGGGAGAGGATGTCTTGAGCGTGGATCTCATCTTGTACAGCTCATCTTGAATCGCCGTTGCCTTTGACAGCAACGCATCCAGCGTCAGCCGCAGCACTCCGCTGTCACCCATCGTCTCCGTCGGTAGAATTCTGGTGAATGATGACCTGCAATTTTCAGAACTTCAACCACCTGACGATTGTGTTGTTGTTGCTGCTTCGTGTTTGCGCACCCCACCTTCTGCTCTTCTTCATCGTCGTTGATTGATTGACCTTGTTCATCTTCTGCGCTGGTTGCTGGTTGGCTGCGAAGGACAAGCATAGTGTCGAGCAAACGACCTTGCTTGAAAGTGTTGCCCGTCGCTGTTATCGCTTCTGCCGCTGCTGCTGGTTGAGGCAGACGTTCGTTCGTGCGTGCTGGGTTTGTGTTTGTGTTTGGGTTTGTGGTTTGTTTGGGTTTGTGTGAGGGGGCAGACAAGGCGCCATGTTTGATCGCGTACGGAAATGGTTTGATGGCGTGTACAAGTCCTTCACCGACCCCAATGACACCACGCCTTCATCGTCCTCTGCGCCTGGTGCCGGATCAAGGTATGTGTGTGTGTGTCTGTGCGCCTGTGCGTCTGTGCGTGCGTATGCGTATGCGTGTGTGTGTCTTTGTGTGTCTTTGTGTGTGTGCGTGCGTATGCGTATGCGTGTGTGTGTGTGTCTGTGCGCCTGTGTCTATGTGTGTCTTTGTGTGTGTGTGTGTGTGTTCACCTGTGCGCACTCGTCTTGCCTGGAACTTGCCTCTGTGCGTCTCTGTGCGTCTCTCTTTGTCCTGTTCTTGTTGGTGTGTTTTGCCTCCATGCCTCTCAACAACCTTTCTGCGGGCGTTGTCGTCATTCGCGTGCGATGGCTGCATGTAGGCCCGGCGCAACAAAACCAACAAATGTCGTTGTACCGGTGACTGCGAAACAAGGGTGAGTGTACAACGCTTGCTTCTGAGTTGGCTCTCGCAGAACCACCCGCTTGCCGCTTTGCACATCGTCTTGCTCACTTTCCCGCCCGTTTCTGCTCCTACCTCAGGTCTCGATTTGTGGATGAAGACGGCTTTGCCGCGCATGAGTTTTATGAGGAAGCAGAGGACGGCCACACACTGAAGCGTGTTCCACAGAGCAGACTACGACCTGAGGTGTGTGCGTGTGTGTCTGTGTCTGTGTGTGTCTGTGTGTGTGTGTGTGTGTCTGTGTGTGTCTGTGTCTGTCTGTCTGTCTGTCTGTCTGTCTGTCTGTCTGTCTGTCTGTGCGTGTGTCTCTCTCTGTGTGTATCTGTCTCTGTCTCCGGTTCTCTGTGTCTGTGTGTCTGTATCTGTATCTGTGACTGTGCGTGCACCATGCGTGCGTGCCTGCCTGGCTCACATCAATCTATTCGCACCATACCCTCACCTTGACGTCAACACATGGCCGTAGGGGACAATCAAACTTGACAAACCGGTGCTGCCCACAGACTGCCCAATCTTGCTGTGTACAGCCCATTCTTTCTAGCAAACCTGACGCCTTCTCCCCTCTTTCGCTTTCGCCCCTAACCGCGATGATGACAACAACGAAGTGGGCTGCCAGCAGAAGTGTGCCCTTGCTTGCTTGCTTGCTTGCTTGCTGAGCTGTGTCGCTTGCATGTGTGTGTGTGTGTGAGTGCGTGCGCGTGTGTGCCGGTCTGGTGGACCTCATCTCCGCAACGGCCATGCCCTGTGTGTGTGTTCATTGTTTCGAACCTATGATTTCCATAGTTAACCAATAACAACCCTGTACACAAACGCGACCGCAACGAGGTGTGGGGAGTCTGTGTGTATGCCTGCGTGTGGGTGGGTGTGTGTGTCTGTCCATCTGTCCATCTCTCTCTGTGTGTGTGTGTGTGTGTGTGTGTGTGTGTGTGTGTGTGTGTGTTTGCTTGCTTGCTTGCTTGCTTGTTTGTGTGTTGCAGCTTTCCCATCACCACAGTCAATGAATGCGGATTTAAGTCGTTCAAAAATCACAAACGAAAACTTGAGAAGATGAAGCCATTGTAACAGCGCTCGCACACACATGCACACACACATGCACACACATACATACACGCACACACATACACGCAACGCAACAGCGTCAACACACATGGGCGGGTCTCAACCAACACGACAACCAACCAACAGACGCGAAAATGGCATGAGGTTTAAACAATGGCGCCTTTGGAACGTATTGAAAGGAAAGTTACCAGTTACACAGCACACGCACACAACACGCAGATACACACACATGCACACACATGCACGCACGCACACACACACGCAAACACACACGTACACACACACACGCAAACACACACACACACACACAACCATGTCCATGTCAGGAGAGCCTCTCGTAGTATGCAAAGAGGCTGCTCTCCACAAGTGCAGTTGCGCCAGTGTCACCCGCCGCCACATACGAGAGGAAGCACGAGCCCTCCATCGACCCGCCAACCGTGCCCGCGTCAAAGCTCAGACACAACGCGTCGTCCAAGCACATGCGCGCGCACGCCTCGAGCGACACACCCTCCCTGTATGCGCCGCCCTGGTTCTGCCCAGGGATGTAGTGGGCGGGAAGCACAGAGAAGTAAGGCGGGCTAGCAAGGGACACGGAGGGTGCGTCTGCCAACGACAACTGCCCGTGCGGGAAGAGTTGCAGCAGCTGTATCAGACCCGTCATCCCAAACGCGCCACCAGCCGCGTTGTCGTCCAGGCGCTGCCCGACAGCAAGCCCGCACGTCGCACTGCGCGCGCCGCAGTCTGTGAGCTGGCCCTGGAACGACTGCTGTGTCTGCATGCGCCCGTCAACGTAGAGGTTCACGGCGGTGGTGTCTGTCTGCGCGGTGTACACCAGCTGCAGCAGGAACGAGTGCACAACACCATCTGCCAGTTGCACGTCGGGGAAGAAGAGCAGATTCCGCGACGATGTCGACGCCGTGCTCGTGTAATACAGCGTCAGCCGTGATCTGTGGTGGTGATGATGAAGATGAGAGGACGTAAACGAGTGGCAGTGGTATAGGTGTGTGGGCAGTGGCCAAGTGCAGGCGCGAGCACGCTTTTGCTGTACACAACCACAGGTCGTTGTACACAACGCAAGAGCACCTGCACGCAAGCACACACACATATACACACACACACACACACACACAAGCACAGCACGTACAAGGCGCTCATGTAGAGGGCAAGGTGTCGGGTGTTTCCGTCCTGTGAGGTCTTGGCGAAGATGTAGCCAGCCGTGCCCGTGTCAGCACGCAGTGTGCCCACAACAGAGAGCGTTGGACCAAGAGAGAATGAATGCTCTGTCACCTCAAGCCGGCTGGAGCCATCAAAGGTCGCCCCTTCCGTACCTTGGTCCAGAGTAGGGTTTGCGTATACACGAGTGTGTGTGTGTGTGTGCATGTGTGTGTGTGTGTGTGTGTGTGTGTGTGTGTGTGTGTGTGTGTGTGTGTGTGTGTGTGTGTGTGTGTGTGTGTGGTGAGCGCGAGGAACGATCGAGTTGGGACGAGAACATGCTGCTGCAACCTGCACGTACACACTTTAATCGCACCACACATACGTGCACGCACGCACGCACACGCATGTGCACGGCTTGTGCTCACCTCTGACGGCACCAACGCTGAAGCCGACAGTGTCGTTCAGGAGATCAAGATACGCAAGGCCGCTCGCATTGCCTGTAACGGCGACACACACGCGCCCACAGCAGCAAGTGGCGTCGATGTGAGGGCATGAATTGAAAGACAAAAAAAAAAAAACCATGAAGTGCATGGCAATTGCTCAGCCCTGAAACTCGCTCATACTCCCTGCACACACAAGCACGCGCGCACATGTATGCGCACACTCAAACACACACGCACCCACACACGAGCACACACACACGCACCCACACACAAACACACAGTACAAACACCGAACATGTGTTTGGTATGACTCACTGATAGGAAGCTGCTGGTCCAGGGCAGGGGTTGGCGCAACAGCGGTGGGATCGGCCGTCATGAACACGCCCGAATACACGGAAGCTGATGCAATGGCGCCAGAGAGGAAAAACAATCCGTCACTGGACGACGCGTCCGTGCGTCGGCCAAGCTGGTAAGCACGATGCAATACACATGTGGACACAGGTGACAAGATGAAGGTGTGAGCAACACAACCGTGGTGTTTGCACATCGCATTGACTGTTTACGAATACACACTTACACAAGTGTGTGCACAAGTACACGCACACATGCAAATGCACACAAAGACAACACATACACACGCACACACACGCACACGCACGCACACACACACACACACTCGCACGCATGCACACACACAGGCACATACACACAGCTGGCAGACCTGCAGGATGCAAGACGACGACGGTGGTGAGCAATCCTGGACGCGACCAGAGAGGGAGGAGGTGCCGGCGAGTGATCCGTCCACATACAGCTGCGCCGTAGCATTCTGATATCATTCATTCGTTGCGTGCGTGTGTGTGTGTGTGTGTGTGTGTGTGTGTGTGTGTGTGTTGAAAGGGGGAAGGTGAAGGCCCTCAAGTGAGTTTTCGGCCACAACAGAACACGCAACCACGCATTAAGTGCATCCTCACAGCCTCACATACACACACATACACACAAACACAAACAGCACAACAAAAACAAATGAAAACTTCAACCTCTCGCGGTACTCAAACATGCGTGCAAGGGCACGCACGTTGACAGCGAGCATAACGCGGTGGTAGAGGCCATCGGCGAGCGAAACGGAGAAACTTGCGGACTGCTGGGCCGTTGATCCACTCGTCCTGAAAACAAGGACAGCACGGACGGATGGGGGTTGGTGTTGTGTCGTGTGGTTGTTGTCGACGGTGGTGTTGGGGTTTGCATTTGAGCACAAGTGCGAGTGTGGTGGGTGAGTACGGGGGAGCAAACACGACAACAACGGCAAGCGTGATGACTGAGAGAGCATTGCACCAAACACCTGAAAACATGCGACGTGTACAAGCTTGAATGCACACACACGCACGCACACACACGCACACAGGTGTATGCATGCAAGCAGTTGTGCACATGTGAACGCGCACTTGTAGTAGAACGAGACGCGGTTGCTGGTGGCTGAGGAGTAGAGCGACCAGAATCGCCCGCCAATCGCATCCGTCTTCGCAACAAAGTATCCGTTGGTGTTGCGGTCCTGTTGGGCGTGAGACGGTCGACAATGGTGAGTACAGATGAAGGAGGGGCACACCCAGCAAACGCAAACAAAAACAATACACTCAAACGCACACACGCACACGCACACACAAGCGTGCACACGCACACACACACGCACACGCACACGCACACGCACACACGCACGCACACGCACGCGCACACACACCTGATTGACAGTGAGAGTGACGGTGAAGGTGGAGGTGGCGCCGAGAGGAACAGCATGAAATCGGGGAATCACAACAGCAGACTGGCCGTCAAACACAAGTGCTCCTGCAGCATTGGCAAAGAAGAAGAAGGCAGCGGTGGCACGCAGAGGATGGAGGGTGGACGAGGGGTTGTTCAGTGGGAGTTCGTGACAAGCGAGCAAGCGATACTGGGTTCACAAATTGCAAAGAAGAGCACTGGCTGTGTGCGCATACACACATTCGCAATCAATGACGCACACGCACGCTGTGCACGTTGGCGAGCCCTCACCGTCTGCATCTGCGGAGACGCTGCCGACAACATTTCGGTTCGACGCATCCAGCAGATCAATCACGCTTGGACCTGAATGCACACACACACAACCACATATGCACACATGCACAACCAAATCAACGAAAGAGTAGAATAAACAGCGATGAACACAGGTAGAGGCAGCAAGTGCGCTTGTAAACAGAACACCACCACCAGCACCACACCACCACCACCACCACCACCACCACCACACGACGACTTGACAACCGGACCTGCGGCTGAGGGGCTTGGGTAGTCCTCGATGGGCACGAGGTCGGATGTGCTGAGAGCATTGATGCGCAGGTGACGGATGATGCCCTCAAGTCGGTACGCACCGCCCTGTGCACGGAATGAGAGCGGAATACACAGAGCACATGGCCAACAAGGAATCATGTGAGCACTAAACAAAGAAGCGTGCACAAACACACGCATGCGCGCACATACACACATACACACACACACACCGCTGAGCTGGCGCGCTGGCCGATGTAAATTTTGCAGTCTGGACCGGGATCACAGAAGGAGATGGTGGCGCCCAAGTTCTGCGTGTATGTTGTGCTGCATTGCAAGCAAAGCGAGAAGGATAGTTGAAGAGGAACACCAAAATTGTTGGGTAAGCTCATTCGCAGCGTGGAGGTGCGCCAAGTGCGCACACGCATTCACACACGCATTCACACACATTCACACACATTCACACACATTCACACACATTCACACACATTCACACACATTCACACACATTCACACACATTCACACACATTCACACACACGCATACACACAGAAACAACAACAACAACAACAACAACAACAACAACAACAACAACAACAACAACAACAACAACAACAACAACAACAACAACAACAACAACAACAACAACAACAACAACAACAACAACAACAACAACAACAACAACAACAACAACAACACACACACAACAACAACAACAACGCGCACACGTACGTGTTTGCGTCGATTTGGAGGGAGACGGACTGTGCTTGGACGTTGAGGACAATGTTGTGCAAGGCGCCGTCATCGAGAGGCGAGTCGAGCTGGAACACTGCCAGCGTGGACGCATCACTGTCTGTCCGGTAGTACACGCCAACCTGTGGGATGACGAATGATTGTCAACGAAGATGATGGTGTGACGGTTGGGGTGGGGTTGACCTCACACACACACACACACACACACACACACACACACACACACACACACACACACACACACACACACACACACACACACACACATACACACACACATACACACACACACACGAAACACACACACAGGACACACACACGAAACACACACAACACACAAACAAACACACAAACAAACACACACAACACACACAACACACAAACAAAACACACACAACACACAAACAAACATGCACACACGCACCCGCTGCGTGAGTTCGTAGACGTAGAGTGCAAAGTGGCGTGTGGATCCGGTGGCCGATGTGACGGCAAAGATGTACCCGCCAGTGCCAGGCACAATCTGCACCTGAGCAGTCAAACTGAACGTTTCACCGATGAAGAGTGGTTGCGTAATTTCAAGGGCACCCTTGCCATCGAAGTACACCCAGTCGTCTGCGAACCGCTGCGGCGCTGTTGGTGACGCAACAACACCGGAGGAGAGGAGAGGGTCGAGCAGGTTGTGTGTCTGCTGTTGGCACGTGTTGTTGTATCGCGTGTACCCCGCAATGCACTCGCACGTGAACGCGCCGTCCGTGTTGACGCACATGGTGTTGTCGTCCAAGGCACACGAGCTGGGATCGTCACACTCGTCGATGTCCTCGCAGGTCGTCGCAGACGTGTTGGTGTAGCCAGGGAGACACGAGCACGTGAAGCTGCCAAGGGTGTTGTCGCACAGCTGGTCGCACGGGCTGGACAGGCACTCGTCCACATCCAAACACGCGATGGAGACGAGGGGGCTCAGCACCCCGCTCGCCTGGCACACTGCGAAGAAGAACGAGCTGCCGCCTGCGTCGCCGTTGGTGGTGTAGCCGTCGTAGCAGTTGTACACAACAACATCCTCGTACACGGCAACAGCGGGTGCGGAATTGCTCGCTGTCGCGTTGAGCTGCTCTGCTGGTGGCGGTCCGCACGGCACGCGTGTGCACGTCCTGTTGTCGCTCGTCTCCAGGAAGAACCCAGTCCTGGCATTGCACAGCATGTGTGTGTGTGTGTGTGTGTGGGTGTGCGTGTGGGTGTGGGTGTGTGTTTGGATAGACATGTGAGGGCAATGTGGCTGACATTGACAACGAAACAGCAGTCAGAAGAGGAAGCGGCATGCTTCAACAACACATTCACGAAGGTACATCAGCCAACACCATGACCACATTACGCTTCGGGTGTCACATTTACGTGTGTATGTGCACTGACCTGCACGCGCATTCAAACGAGCCCGCCGTGTTGGTGCAGATGTGATCACAGGGGCTGTCCTCCTGTTTCATGGTGAGGTGAGACATCATTGTGCGCAACGTGTGAGTGGAAGCGAGTGAGTGTTCAAGCGGAAGAAACAGTGGACGACAAGATGCTGGCACAGGCATGCATATGTGTGCATGCCAGCGTGCACAAGATTGATGCTTTGTCTCAAACGCTGTTGTCGCTGCCATTCACCCACCATGCATTCGTTGATTTCGACGCATCTGAATCCATCGGTGAGACGATAGCCGGTCGGGCACGTGCAGTTGAAGCCGCCAGCAAACTGCTCGGTGGAGGAGAAGGAGTTGGTGGTGGTGGTGGTGGTGGTGGTGGTGGTGGTGGTGGTGGTTGTGGTGGTGGTGGTGGTTGGAGGAGGTGGAGGTGGTTGGAGGAGGTGGAGTTGGTGGTGGTGGTGGTGTTGGAGGAGGTGTGTCAGCGAGGAAACACGTGAGTACGTGTCGATTATGATCATGGCTGTGATCTATCAGGAAAACAAGGACACCAACTGCTTGGATACAACATGTGCACCCTGGCTCGAAGCAACGCAACATACGTTGACACAGCCGTCCGTGCAGCCGCCGTTGTTCGTACTGCATTCATCGACATCCACACAGCCTACAAAGGCAATATGTGTGTGTTTGTGGGTGTGGGTGGGTGTGTTTGTGGGCGGGTGTGTGTTTGTGTATGTGTGTGTGTGTGTGAACAACTCGGGTGAGCGTGGTGACAGATAGACATGCACTGCTGGTGTCCACAGGAGATAAGAACACACACACACACACACACACACACACACACACACACACACACACACACACACACGCACGCGCCTTTGGTCCGCTTATTGTGCACCGACTTAGGGAATCACTCGATACTACGATCCTTACACCCCGTACCGGGCCGTTAATCATTGAGGGTTTGCAACCGTAATCCGGAGTTGGGATCGGGACGCAGCCCCTGGAGCTGATCCCGACAGGCTGATTGCTCGGGTCATATCTGGGTTGGTTGTGGGTACATGCTCGTCTGTTCGTTGGTGACACGCACACACACACACACACACACACACACACACACACACACACACACACACGCACGCACGCAGACAGGGATGTGCACCAGCAAACCGCTTCCCCTCCCCCCCCCCTCCCCCCACCCCCCAAACAAACACCATTCCATCAGCGGCAGACGGATGAACGCACCATCAGCAAACTGGCCATCAACCATTCCAGATGCGCGACAGAAGAGCGAGAACGACGTCGCGGACGCAGCGCCGCCGTCAACAGTAAATCCGTCCTCGCACACGTACGGCAGCTCGTCGCCAAACTGGTACGGCCCCGTGCCGTTCAGGCGTGCTGTCACAGATGGGATGGAAGCAGGGAGCGTGGGCGGTGGGTTGGCGCAGTTGATGCGAACACAGTGCGATGAATTGCTTGGATCCACCATGAAGCCATCGACGCAGGAGCAGAAGTAGTCGCCTGCTGTGTTGTTGCAGTTCTGGAAGCACCCTGCCGAATGACATGTCGTGGCAAAAGGGGGAGAGCGCGTGATGATGGGGTGATGATGGGAGGGTGAGGGTGATGGTGGTGGCGTTGCAAGCGAGACCAAGCATGGCAAGCAACGGAACAAACGGCACCGAGAACGCGAAGTCTGAAATAGACCAGCGTGCCACATCGCACATGTTCATGTACGCGCACACGCACACGCACACGCACACGCACACGCACACGCACACGCACGCACCTCCGTTGTTGACTGCGCATTCGTCGACATCCTCACAGTTGAACCCATCGACCGCCTCAAATCCGCTTGGGCACGTGCATTCAAACTGGCCGAGCGGCATCGCCACGCACGTGTGCGAGCACCCGCCGTTGTTTTCATCGCACGGGTTGAACTCCTCACACGTGGCGTTGTCGCTCGTCAGACGGTAGCCGGGGTCACAGTCGCACACAATCGCGCCAGACGTTGCGTTGCAAATCTGTTCGCAGCCGCCGTTGGTGAGCACCTGCGTTGTGTTGATGCGGTTTGTGCACACGCCACCACACGACGCGGTGCACGACTCTGGGCGCTCCCGTGTCTGGCGCGCACACGTCGGCATCCAATCCGGAAAAGGGCCATCTGTTGTGGTGTGTATGTATGTGAGTGTGGGTGTGCGTGTGGATGGGTGAAATGTGCAATGGAATCACAGCACCAGCATTTGCCAAACATACACATACACGGCACGTAAGCCAGCACACGGGGACAATGCGCAGTGGACGCACAGGTGTAGTTTGCGTTGACGGGGCAGCAAATGTCGCGGGTTTCCATCAGGGGCTGATCGTTCGTGCAAGAGCCACCACACGTGGCATTACACGTGCGTGTGCGTGTGCGTGTGCCCTCGCCACATGTCTGCATTTTACAACAAGCAAATCGCGGGGGGGGGTGAATGAGCAGATGATGTTCGTGTGACAGTACACTGCACACATGGCATCTGATCAACTTACGCACATACCCACACGCACAACGCACACGCAACGCACGCTCACACACACACACACACACACACACACACACACACACACACACACACACACACACACACACACACACACCGTTGACCAGTCGCTCCACTCGCTGTAGACGTAGACGCCGTCTTGGCTGCAACAGAAGGTGCCTGGAAGGTTTGTGCACATGTCAGCGCAGCCGCCATTGTTGACAGCACACTCGTCCACGTCGTCGCACGTCTCGGTGTCGTTCATCAGGCCCATCTCCGTGCAGGTGATGGTGAACGAGGTGCCGTATGCAACAGACTCGTAGCCGCTGCTGCACGTGATGAGCGCTTGCTCGTCAAGTCGCAGCTGCCCCGTGGCACTTGCGGTTGCGTTGGCGATGGTTGGGATGTCACAATACACGCTCGAGCAGTTGTAGGCGTCAATCAGGTAGGATGGCGGTGTGCACGAGCATTCAATCTGTCCCATCGTGTCATCGCACACGTCATCGCAGCCACCGTTGATGCTCCGTGTTTGTCGCGTCGGCTTTTGGTCCAAGCACTTGACATCCGCACACGTTTCCACTCGTGTCCTCTCCTGTAGTTCGTGTGTGTGTGTGTGGGGGGGGGGTGAGGCTTGCTGGTTGGAAGAGAAATCCAGAAACAGATGCACGAGAAACAAAGAAGCAAGCAAGTTTTGGGTGTTTGTGCTTTCGTATTTCACACCCACACAACCAGCCAGACACCTCGAGATCACGCTCCCGCTTGACACACCTGCGTGCCGCAAGACTGAGACCAGTCTGACCAGGGCGAGTACTGGTACGGCTCCGTGATGTTGCGGCACATTGTGTTTGTTGTGGAGGTGCAGTTTGCATCTGTGATCTGCGTCGCGTCGTCGCACACATCGCAATCTAAAGCCAGCAAGCAAGCAAGCAGGCAGCCAGTCAGACAGGTGTGAGTAAAGGGGTGAGTCACTTCACATCACTAATAATTGACAGAAGGTGAGAGTGTAGGCGAAGGTGGATAACAGGGCAAGCGTGCACACTTGCACATTGATATGGCACTGTGAATTTGCTTGATCTTTCAGTTTCAAGCAAGTCAAGCCAGCAAGCCAACTTCCCCTCATCCTTTGCTTCTTTTTGTCATTTCTCTGCTTTGTCTCTTCTCCCTCCTTCAGGGAGATCAAACGCACCGTCACAGAAGCGATCCGAAGTGGGCGTGGGTGCCTGTGTCTCGTATTGGTCATCTGCACAAACTTCGATGATGGCACAGTCGCGGTTTGAAGTGGGCGTTGGCGCCACGGTTTCGTACTCGGTGGCGTTGCATGTTCGCAGCGTGGCGCAGTCGCGGTTTGAGGTGGCTGTGGGCGCCACTGTCTCGTACTCCACCGACACGGTACAGTTTCGCACGAGGGCGCACTGGCGGTTGGATGTGGCCGTGGCTGCAACCGTCTCGTACTCATAGTCCTGGCACACGCGCAGCGGAAGGCACACGGGCGGTGAGCCGTCGGCGACGGCTTGGTCAGCGGGCGTGATGTACACCGCGTCCAAGGATGCGGTCACCGTGGTCTGGCTCGTGTCCTTGACCGTGGCGTTGAGGAAGACGTAGCCACTCTGCTCGATGTGGAATTGCCCGAGCAGCGTGAGGTTACCATCGGGCGGCGGCTGCTGCTGGTCGATGTAGAAGGTGCCTGCGCGGGAGCCATCCGTGTGCACGTCGTACCGCTGCGAGTCCGTGAACGCGCCTGGCGACGTGCTGAAATACACGTAGCTGATGCTGATGTTGTAGTCTGCCTCGCGGTCCACGCTGAAGGAGAACATGCCGTAACCCGTGTTGCGTACGCGGTTGAGCAAGTAGAAGTGGTCACCGAAGAAGCCAAAGAACGCGTTGTCGCCAGACTGCTCAAACTCGTTCCAGTCGCCAACAACAGTGATGTCTGGCTGGGTGACGCCGGCCTCGTAGTCCAGCAGGATGCTGGGCACGGGGTCCACGCACGGTGTCTCCTCGTATGTGTCTCCCGTACATGTCTGCGAGCACGGGTCGCTCTGGGCCAGTGCCACTGGCACTGTCGTGACAGCAGCAGCGAACAGCATTGCCGCCGCCACCACCACGGATGCAACAGCCAACCTCATGATTGCGCTGGTGCTCTTTGTGTATCTGGGATGAAGAGTGGGGGGGGAAGGCGGCAAGGGGGGGGGGGATAGGGGGGATGAGGGAGCAAGAGAGCAAGGGGTGAGGGGAGGAGGGGAGGAGGGGAACACAGCGCAGCTGCTGCGGGTGCGGCTCAGGCAAAACAATGCGCTTGTGTTGTGTTGTTTGCTGTCGAGCTTGGTTTGTTTGCGTGCAAGCAGCAGCAAAGTCGCCGTTGGAAAAAAAATAAAGAAAAAGTGCCGCCGCCAAATTCAAACGCGCGTTGTGTTGTGTGTTGTTGTGGTGTGTTGTGTTGTGTTGTGTTGTGTGTTCTTTGTGTTGTGTTCATGTGTCGTGTGTGTTGTGTTGTGTGTAACAGGACAGAATACGACTTGGAGACCCGCACCAGACCATCGTGGCCATCTTAAGCTCAACGTATTTGCAATACACACGAGTCATTGTATTTATCCATTTCATTTTTGTACAACTTGCTGTGCGCAGTTCCTTTCCTTCTTCATATTGATTCCAGACTGAGTCGAGTCTCACAACATCGCGGACGCGATCGCGCCTTCCCAGCACGCGTGCAACCGGCGTTGTGCTGCTGCCACCACACACTTTTCCCGCCAAAACGCTATCGTGTATCAAACATTTGATGTGACACACGAGTAAATACATGCAAATTTGTTTGCTGCTGACCTGCCAGTGTCTCCTTGTTGAACCTCATGCGTTTTATGTACAGTAACGACAAGTGTGCCAGGCAGCAGGCGCAGCGTGGCGAGTTAGATCAGGAAGCGGCCGTCCGTGAGAGTCTTGACAGCCATGTTCTGGGTGCTTGTCACCCCGAACCATGCATACAGCACCTGCAGCACCAGCCACGCCAGCAGCGCAGCAATCACATAGCTGTGTTGCATCAAGGAGCGAGTGCGTGAATGCGCGCGCGTGTGTGTGTGTGTGCGGGTTTGTGTGTGTGTGTGTGTGTGTGTGTGTGCGTGGGGTTGTGTTGTGTGTGTGTGCGTCGCAGCGCTTGAAGCAACAAGTAGCACGCATGTGATCAAGGCAAGGCACCAAGGGCAAACCCACTTCTTGACGATCAGGTCCCAGAAGATGAAGACAGCGCACTC